CGGGGACGTCCCGTAAAGGGTTGGCGGCAGGGCGTTGACGAAGAGATGTTGCGGTGTCTGAATACGCCGAATAGCAGCGTATTCCACGCGATTACGTCACGGCGAAAGGGAAAATCCGCGTTACCGAGAAACCGGCAACAAGGCCCAGAAAACCCGGCTCTCGCGAGCGAACCTCGCACCTTTTCTCATTCTTGTCGTTAACTCCGGTGCGTCACGTTTCCGTCTTCGTTTGTTACCTACGTAAGACTTGCTTTTACTATGTAGTTTTTTTGTATTTTATAGCCGCTTTTTAGTTTAGTTATTCGCCTTTTCCCTCTTTTTCCTCGTTACTCTCTGCCCTCGTGCTTTCCTTTCCTTCAATATTCCTTTCCCTCCTTTACCCTGAATCATGGACGGCTAAAGTTTGGGACTGAGCAACCTCGCCTTTTTTGCACCACGCATGCCCTCGAGTAGCAGCCTTTCACATCCAGTAGGCATGCTGTTCCTCCAACTCTAAAACTATGCTAAGGTAAGACCACGCTTTTGGCTTCAGCTTTTAGTGCCTTTTGTGCTTCTCTCGTGCATTTCCCCCCTTTTCTTTGTTCCCTTTCTGATTGCTGATTTCTTCCTTTGTTCATTGCTCCACCCGGAGAATGCGGAAATATTTGGTCCTCCGAGCCATTGGATTTTAATCAGATCCAACTTTTCTTGAATCAATCTATGGAATTCACCCCCCATCTAATTTCAGAAATTTGGAATCAGCACGTCAGAATTATTTGAGGATGAGACACGTGCTCGGCTCTTCCTGCTCTCTCTCCCCTAGAAGTGCTGCATCCTCCTGTAAGCCTTTCATGAAAAAACCCTAGTTACTGTGAAATTCTAGCTCCCCCCCCTTCCCCTTCTTCGCAAAGGTGGATTTTCACACGTGCTCTCAAGGTGTTTTTACCTCCCTTTCCTTCCGGACTAGGCTTTCCCTCCCTTACTGAAGCCAAAGCTGTGGTCAATTTTTATTAGTGCACAATTCTCTAACAACCTAAATACCCCCTTTGTGCTTCAAAGCGTGCGTGGCCATTTACGGCGGGGTTGCCCCCCCCCCCATAATTTTCATTACTTTGTATTAATTTTCTATCTGAAGATTACAATAAGTTTTGCCATTCATTTTCTCTGTAGCGTGGTTCATCACTTTCGCGGTGTGCGTATTCTAAAAGGTCGTGATTTGGTCGATTTCACTCCCCCCCCTCCCGTTGAGATCTGATAGAACTTATTAAAAAGAAAAGGAACGATGTCAACTGGGTCTAGATCCGTCCCCCCTGAGGATACCGCGCAGGTTGAAGTCTTACAAGCTCTGAATCTTTTAGATGACATTCGGAACCGCATTTATGCTAGGCTCCAGCGTATTCTGGATGACTCTGCAAAATGGACCCCAGAGACCTACGCTTATCACGCCGGGGCCTTGCAAAGAATGCGCAATCTTGAGGTCGAGTTCCTCGCGGCTCAACGGAGCATTTCAGAGCAAAATCTAAAACTCCTTGATAGGACCGCCCGATTATCGGTAAACAAAGTACAGGACCGGTTCGACGAATTAATGGACGCTATTAATGTTAATTATTTTCGATGTCAGACAGAAGAATCTCGAAAAATCCAGAGCGAGGAGAATCGTAGAAAATCCGAGCAAAATGCGGCTTCAAGTGGAAATGACTCTACCCTGTCCACTCCCACCCCCTCTAAGGCAAAACTGCCCCACTTAGCTCTCCCAACGTTTGATGGCACATTAGCTACCTGGTCTGGTTTCTATAGTAGATTCAAGGTGGCTATTCACGATTCGCAGCTGTCTAAAGTCGAGAAATTCCAGTACCTCTTGTCCACACTCAAGGGAGAAGCCTCAGACGTCATAAGATCCCTCCCCCTCACGGAAGGCAATTATGATGTGGCGTGGGAATTACTGGTTTCCCGGTACCAATCGGAACGCCGCCACATTTTTTCGCATTTTGGGGGGCTATTGGATCTCCCCGAAATGAAGGCAAACGCGTATCTCCAGGTTCTCCCCCAATTTTTAAATAAGCTAATGGAGCACTTGCACGCCCTAGTGGCCTTAAAAATTGAGAAGGAATCGTTCGCCCCCATGCTCGTCACAGTGATTTTCCGAAAAATGCCCCAAAATCTGAGACGAAGACTGGAAGACTCCAGAGAGGACTCCACCCAATATCCTAAATTAGACGAGATAATTGACTTTTTGAAGGCAGAGTGCTCCCAGATTCTGGATAATCCTGCTCATCTCTCTGATTCGGTGAAAATCCCAAAAATTTTGGTTACGCAAGGCGACCCAAAGCCCCATAAACGACAGGATATGACCAGCAGTGCCTCCCCTTCTTCCACCCCCTCCCAGTATTTGAAACCAAAACCCAAAAAACAGCCAGAAATCGCCCTCCAAGGACCCCAAACAAAATGTCGATGGTGCGCCAGTACTCAACATAACCTGTTCCAATGTGAGGAATTTCTCAAGCTTGAGCCAGCCGAGCGCAAAGTTCAAGTGAAATTGAAAAATAAATGTTTTAATTGCATCGGTGATCATGTGTCAAGTTCGTGTACGTCGAAAAAAAGGTGTCTGACGTGTAACGGTTCCCATAACACGCTTTTGCACGTGCCAAAGGCTTCAGCGCATTTCGCAAACGATGAGCTGTCAGTCACCTCCTCATATTCTGCCAACACGGCTGATGCAGGGCTGGCTAAAGCGGTATCCATTTTACCGACAGCCAAAATTAGAATCACAGGTAAAAATGGGCGCTCTCTGGTGATAAGGGCCTTGTGCGACTCCGGCGCGAGTCACAGTATGATGCTTAAAAAATGTGCAACGGCACTGAACTTGAAACCCTCTCCGGTAATTTCATCGGTGTCAGGCTTGGCGCAAAATTCGGTTAAGGTCGATGGAATTTTAAAGGTTGATATAGGCACCGTAGGTGGCAAAACGCTGGTATCAGATCACCCGTTCATTGTTGCCCCGAAACTCACAGGTTATTTACCGTCCGTTCCAGTGTCCCCAAAAATTAGGTTGGAATTTGAGGCGTATCAGCTGGCGGATAACGAATTTGACGTTCCAGGGGAAATTCAGGCAATTTTAGCATCGGATGTAATTCCTCGTGTCCTCACTGGCGCAATTTTGAAACCAGACCCGGCAGGACCCGTAGGTTTAGGTACCGCCTTTGGGTTGGTCATAATGGGCCAAGCACCCCTAGTCGACCCCCTCCCCCCCGAATCAATCAACGTTGTCGCACTCCTTCAACAGGACCCACTGTCAGCCCAGCTAGAAAAATTTTGGCAAATGGAACAGGCGGCTCCGCGCAAAATTCTATCCCCGGCAGAAAAGGCGGTGGAAGAATTGTACGAGACAACCACCGTACAACAACCCAACGGCCGTTACAAGGTAAAACTCCCCTTCAAAACGGAAAAACCCCCCCTAGGAAGTTCAATATTTCAGGCAACAAAGCGCTTCCAGGCGCTAGAACGCCGTTTTGAACAGGATCCCGAATTTCATGCCGCTTACGTAAGGTACATGGAGGATTACGAGAAAAAAGGTTTCATGACCCCGTGCCCTCCCCCTCCCAAAAACGAAGAGTCCTATATTATCCCCCATCACGGTGTGTTTAAGAAAAACGCCCACAAGAAAAAACTAAGAGTCGTTTACGATGCGTCCTGTAAAACAACCTCAGGGTATAGTCTAAATGACGTTTTAGAAATTGGTCAGCCTCTCCATAATGACATAAGAAAAATCGTCATTCAATTTCGTCAATTTCCCATTGTAATGACCGCCGATATTGAACAAATGTACAATCAGATTGATATACATGAGGAACACAGACCTTATCAAATGATAATCTGGCGGAAAAATAGTGGCCTCCCAATCCAATATTATCTTTTAAACACGGTAATCTTCGGTATCAACTCCTCTCCTTACCTCGCCCAGCGCACTTTACGCAAGCTAGCTCGGGACCACGGGCACAAATACCCCCTAGCTGCCGAAGCCCTTCTAAATTCCTCATTTATGGATGACATAGTTTTAACCGCAACCACCACGGCGGAGGCGGAAGTCCTGGTCCAGCAACTCATCGAGCTCCTCGCGTTGGGGGGCTTCACCCTCAAGAAATGGACGAGCAGTTTGCCCTCGCTCCTAAAAAATTTCCCAGCAGAACACTTAGAATGCCCGGTGCTTGACGAAACCGATTCCCCCCGTCTATCGATTTTAGGCGTGCAGTGGCTACCGGGCGAAGACACATTTACGTACAAAATCTACATTTCCAACAAAAAGGGGACAAAACGCAATTTACTGTCAGCGATTGCATCGATATACGACCCTCTGAGCTGGCTAACTCCAGTAATAATGAAAGCAAAGATACTCATGCAGGACATTTGGCGTTCCAAAATAGATTGGGACCAGACGGCTCCATTAGAAATTCGGCAACGCTGGACGGAGTTCCAGAACCAGCTGTCATCGCTACCTCAAGTGAGGATTCCGCGGCGATTACATCGCGGGAAAATAGAAGATCATCGATTTGAGCTGCACGCGTTCTCCGACGCATCGTGCCTCGGATATTGCAGTTGTCTTTACCTCCGAGCCATAGACTCTATTAGTGCCACGTCACAGTCGGTATCGATTGTATCGAACTGGATCCAAACAATCAAACATAACCTTACTATTCAATATGAAACTAAAGAATTTCAGAGATAATTCGCCCAGTTTGAGAAAAAAGTTGTGTTAGAGACAGCTCTTTTAATCGCAGAACGTTCCCGCATTGTTAAGTTGACGGGATAAAGCAGTTTCAGAAAGGTGAAATACCCACGAGGGCCACCATGATTGAGGCCACTCCTATGCCACTCCAGTTTCTTGGCTTTTGACAGTGAAATTCTGGGAGGGAGGTGTCAAGATAAGGTTATGTTTGATTGTTTGGATCCAGTTCGATACAATCGATACCGACTGTGACGTGGCACTAATAGCGTCTATTCCCCGCACCGACCCCCCTCCCACCGATAACCTGCGGCAAACAAGCCGCGCGGAAGTAAACTTAATTATCGCCAAATCACGGGTCGCCCCCTTATCAACTGTGTCCATCCCACGTCTGGAATTATGTGCCAGCGTGCATATGATCCAACTGATCGAAACCTACGGCCCACAGCTGAACCTGTCATATAATTTTGAGAAAATCTACTGCTGGACCGATTCTACCATAGTTTGGCATTGGGTACAAACCCCATCGTATAAATTAAACACGTTTGTGGCGAATCGAGTGGCGCTCATCGAATCATCAAACGTTGACGTGGTTTGGCGCCACGTTCCTTCCGAGGAAAATCCGGCAGACCCAGGCTCACGCGGGGTCATGCCGAGCGAAATCCCAAACTTATCCCTGTGGTGGTCGGGGCCTGATTTCCTAAAAGGACCGGAAGAAAACTGGCCGAACCATCCCCTCCCCACCCCTAAAGACAGCGAACTCGAGATAAAAAAATCGTGCACGGCCCTAATATCGAGCCCCCCCTCCCCCACTCCCCTTCCCGTTTTCCCAATTCTGGAAACATGGGATGCTACGTTGATATCTTTAGCATGGGCATATCGATTTTTTCAAAGAACTCACAACAAAAAAAGGGTAATAGGCCCATTAATGCTAAGTGAGATGAGAGCCGCGGAAACATGGATATTAAAGTCCATCCAGAAAGAGGTCTTCGTAAATGATATCAAAGCCCTCACAAGAGGGAGTCTTTGCTCCAAAAAACTCCAAAAGTTGACACCATTCCTTGATAAAAACGGCGTCTTACGCGTAGGAGGCCGATTACTAAATTCGGAGCTCCCCCTAAGGGCACGGCATCCGGCACTGCTACCAAGTAAACATCCCCTAGTACAATTGCTTGTATTAAAATACCATACGGACACATTGCACGCCCCGCCCCAGTTACTCCAAGCGACCCTCACGCAAAAATACTGGATCATTCGGGCGAGAGAAATCACGCGGCGGTGCGTTCACCAGTGTATATCATGCTTCCGTGCCAAACCACGTAACCACCCACCCCTCATGGGAAATCTCCCTCCCGCGCGAACGACCCCCTCCCCATGCTTCGACAAAACGGGCGTTGATTTTGCGGGGCCGTTGACCACAAAAATTCATCTGTTACGATCAGCGCGAATTGTGAAGGTATACTTATGTATTTTCGTATGCTTCGCCACAAAGGCGGTTCATGTGGAGCTCGTTTCTGACCTGACGACAACTGCGTTCATCGCCGCCTTACATCGATTCGCCGCTCGACGTTCCTGTCCTACTACCATTTATTGCGATAACGGTACGAACTTTGTAGGAGCAAATAATGTAATGAAAAAATATCTCACAAAGGACAACCCTGACATCCAAAAATTCGAGCGCCACACAGGCATAACCTTCGAATTCAACCCCCCCGCGGCTCCACACATGGGTGGGATTTGGGAAGCAAGCGTCAAAAGTGTAAAAGGACACTTGTTCCGCACCATTGGGACTACTGTGCTCTATTATGAGGAGCTGTTAACGCTATGCTGTCGAATTGAAGCAATGTTGAATTCGAGACCCATAACCCCCCTCTCCTCGGACCCAAACGACATGGAGCCTCTAACCCCGGGACATTTTCTCGTAGGCCGCCCCCTCAATGCCCCCCCTGAACCCGAACATTCCGACGTACAAATTTCAAAATTACGGCGTTGGGACCTAGTGCACGCGTTTGCACAGAGTATCTGGCGCAGGTGGCAAAAGGAGTACCTCCACACCTTACAACAGCGCAAAAAGTGGAACCAAGAAACGCCCAACATGCAGAAAGGTACTTTAGTGTTAATCCACGAAGAGAACTTACCTCCACTTAAGTGGAAGCTGGGTCGCGTAATTGCAACGTTTCCTG